GCAGCAGCATTCTCTCTCCCATCCCCCCTTCCCCCCTTCCATCATCGCTCCCACCACCACAACCACCGCCAGCAGCAGCAGCAGCAGCAGCAGCAGCAGCAGCAGCAGCAGCTTCTCCCCCTGCTGATGTTTCAGAGAAACTAAGGCCTCTATGCAGGGTCTGGTCTGGGGGCAGCTCGTTCCTATCAACAGCAGAAGTAAGCCCCCAATAAAGAGAAACACAAATAGAACGCAGCCAGTGCTCGTCCTTCAGCAGGTGACGCACGCATACTTGAAATACACCTGAGTTTATACACACACATATATATATTTATATATTTTTATTTATTTATTTTTATTTATTTATTTATTTAGTTAGTTAGTTAGTTATTTATTGTTTTTATATTTATTTGTTTACTTTTTTTCTTATTTATTTAGAGATATACACTAGTATACTATTATGTATATGTAGTTTTACACACAGATATACAAGTATAAATACATCTATATGCAGCACAGCTGCTGCAGCAGAACTGCTGCAGCANTTACACACAGATATACAAGTATAAATACATCTATATGCAGCACAGCTGCTGCAGCAGAACTGCTGCAGCAGCAGCTGCAGCAGCAGCTGCAGCAGCAGCTCTTACCTGCTGTTTCCTTTGAAGCTATGACTCTTGCCCCTTCGAGTCCGCGTGTTTCTGCTGCAGCATCTGTTGCTGCTGCAGTGCTGCTAAGGAAGCTGCTGGCGCTGCGCAAACGCCGCCGCTGCTGCTGCTGCTGCTGCTGCTGCTGCTGCTGCTGCGGCTGCAGCACATCAAGAAAGAAGTCCGTTCCCTCTACCTTCAGCACACAGAGAAATGTAGAATGCCAGTACCCCCTCTCCGGGCTGCTGCTGCAGCGTGTAAGAGCTGCTTCAGGCGATGTATCCCATGGTGCAGCAGCAGCAGCAGCAGCAGCAGCTGCTGCTGCAGCTTTGCTGCTGCTGCTACTGGGCCCCAAATTAAAGCTTCCTAGCATATTCATGGATCTAAGCGATGCAACTAACGCCTCTTCAATAGCTCGATGCTGCTGCTGCTCCTGCTGCTGCTCCTGCTGCTGCTGCTGCTGCTGCCCCCCCCACCCCCTGCGCTGCCAGCCCCCAGCAGAGGCCCTCGACGATATTCCCCCATCACCAAACCTCCGTCGCGGTGTCTTCAGAGCTGTGCATGCAAGCGAGGCCCTGCATGTCTGTGACCCCGCTCCCCAGGGTCTTCTGCTGAGGGTACTGGTGGGGGGGCCCCCCCGCTGGGGGGCCCCCCCGAGGCCCCTCAGGGGGGCCCCCCCACCAGTACCCTCATTAGAGGGGCCCCCACATGGCGGGGGGCCCCCAACAGATCCACTCCCAGGACGCTGCAAAGCCGAGAGGTTCAGGGGGGCTATACCGGGTATGCCTGGTAGACGTGACTTCTGCTTCTGCTGCTGCTGCTGTTGCTGCTGCTGCTGCTGCTGCTGTTGCTGCTGCTGCTGCTGCAGTGAAGGCAGCATCAGAGGCGGGGGCTTACCGGGTGCAGCTGGGTGCTGCAGCTGCAGCGTCAGCTGGCGATGCGGCTCCTTACCCGCAGCAGCAGGGGCCCCCGCTGCAGCTGCAGCTTCAGGGGACCATGAAGGGGGGCTGGGGGCCCCCTGAGATGCTGTGGAGGCCCCTAGGGGGCCCCCCTCCCATAGGGGCCCCAGGGGGGCCCTAGCTGTTAGGCAACCAGAGGGTACGACGGTGACGCTGCGGCGGGAGACGAGGCCCTTTCTGGGTGTTGCTCCTACAGCTTCTGCTGCTGCTGCTGCAGCAGCAGCTTGCTGCAGCAGTTGCTGCTGTTGCTGCTGCTGCTGCTGCTGCTGCTGCAGCAAGGCCCTTGACATGCGTTCATTAGCACAACGAAATGCCTCCTTCTGGCTCCATAAAGAATTAAGCTGCTGCTGCAGCTGCTGCTTCTCCTGCAGCAGCTGCTGTATAAACTCGACGCAAGACTGGGCGTCAGGCAGCTGCTCTCCTTGCTTCCCCTCCTCTGCTCCGCTGCTGCATGCATCTTCTGCTGCTGCTGCTGCTGCTGCTGCTGCTGCTGATGGTGCTGAGGGTGGGGCTGCTGCTGCTGGTGGGGTGCTGGGGGGACGTGCTGCTGCTGCTGCTGCTGCTGCTGCTAGGGGGGCCCCTGACCCCAGCCGCAGCCGCAGCAGGCTGGAGAGGCTGCCCTCAGATGCCTGCCGCTCGAACTGCTCCCGCAGCAGCTTCACTGTACCGGGGTGGGCCCCCACTTGCTCTCTGGCTCTTGCTGCTGCTGCTGCTGCTGCTGCTGCTCCTGCTGCTGCTGCTGCTGCTCCTGTATCTGAGCGGGGGGGAGAGGAGGGGCAGCTCAGGGAGCTGTTGCTGATCGCGGGGGCCCCCTTGTACCCTTCAGCCTCAGCAGGGGAGGAAGCGGCGCTGCAGAGCGAGGGGCTTGTGCCTGTTGAGGTCTGCTGCTGCTGCTGCTGCTGCTGCTGCTGCTGCTGCGGCTGCTGCTGCTCTTGTGGTTGTTGCTGCTGCTGCTGGGTATCGGCTGCAGCAGCAGCAGCTGCCTCTGCATACGTCATTCGCCTCATCGAGGGGATGGGGCTGCATGCAGGGAGGTGTTTGGGTTGCTGGAGCTAGAGGGGAATAGCAGCTAGCAGCTAGCGCAGCAGCATGTGCACAGTCTGCTGCTGCTGCTGCTGCTGCTGCTGCTGCTGCTGCTGCTCAAGGGGCCAGATATGGGTTCTGCGCTGCTGCCGCTCTCCAGCGACTCCGTAGCAGCAGCAACAGGCAGATGTGGGGTCGTGCTGCTGCTGGTGCTGCTACTGCGGCTACAAGAGCTGCTGCAGTTGCTGCTGCTGCTACTGCTGCTGCTGCTGCTGCTGCTGCTGCTGCTGCATGCTGCTGTCGCCTGCGGCTGAGCGAGTAAGGCAGCTAGTTGCAGCAACCTCTCTACCCGCAGCAGCAAGGACCCAGTCTTTATCTCTTCTGCTGCATCTTCTCTTCTCTCTTATTATTATAAAATAACAAGACAGTCAACTCCAATCCCTTAAAAGCTGCAGGAACGGGGGCCCCAGCAGCAGCAGCTGCTGCAGCAGCAGCAGAACCTCTCTGCCGCCGACGGGTTGCACTGCAGCAGCAGCAGCAGCAGCAGTGTATAAACAAGAGCAACGTTAGTTATATTATTTTAATATTTATTTATTTATTTATTTATATTTTTTCTATTTATTTCGTTTTGTCTCCGAGCTGAAGAAACAAACACAAGACAAAGCAAAGAAGCACACAACATACAGCGGGGGGATCGCTGGCTCCGCTCCTGCTGCTGCTGCTGCTGCT